ATTCATTCAACTGCAGACCTCGAGCTTCCATTACTTTAAGGGAATCATCTAAAAGTTGCTAAGTGCCAGGCCTCTGTATCCCAGAATTACAACCTTAGTCCTACAACTAACATAGAAGTCTCAAGTAATGATGTCCAAATGATTTTACCTGTGTGCCACACTGGTTTCTGAGTTACGACCAGAACTTATTCTGCTAGAAAGATATTTTACATTGCTTCTAAGTTACTTAGATTGATAACAATCTTTCAAGTCCCATTTCTGTAGGTACAGTCTAATCAAATTTCAAAATGTTTCCCAACACTGGACAAATTTCCTCCCCTCAGAAATCACTGCTTGCAATAGCAAGTATTGCACTACAACCATATTCTAACAATGTTCCACGCATCTTCAGCAGAGAATCTTCATTAAAAAAACCTGGAGCTAACAAAGAAGCCTTACGGAGTACAATGAAACCCACCTTCTCATTTGCTGCACTGTTTGATCCTTCACCAACTACTGCAGAGACCCAAACATCCACGTGAAAGGATTTGTTTGAGCACTTCAGCTGATAGCTCAGTGTGTAACGCTCAATTGTTACCATGATAATCAGGAGCTACTTTATACAGCTACATGAGGACACTGAAACATTTTCTTTAAGAAATACTGCTTTTCTGAGCAGCCTCCATCTCTCCTTCCTTCTCATCCCAACCTTTCAAAGATAGGCTTCGGACTGCCCAATGCTCCCTCTGAAGAATTCAACCACAGGTAAAAGCAGAGTTGAGGAAGGCTCCCATGTTATCCAGGAGATCAGGACTAGCTGCAGATCCAGAAGAGGTTTCTGACTACAAATCTCTTTAACAAAATCCAGCTGAGGCCCATGAGCAGATGAAGGAGTAAAATTACTCTTTCTTTCTTCCAGATAATTCTTCAAAGGCTTTTCTACCATACAAACTAGTGCAGACTACGCAGAACCACACTGAGTTTTAGCCAACCTCTCTCACGGCCAAAAATATCATCCACCACCACTGCACACATTTCCTTACTGAGATTTTCAGAAGGTCTGCATAATCTCATAACCATGAAGTTAGTGAGCCATTACATATTTCCTGAAACTAAGCTGCACATTAGATGATTCACCAATTAGTGTATTCATGAAGCTTTAAAAAGCAATCAAAATTTCCTTTATGTTGAAAAATTTAAGAAAGATGTCCAGCTGTATGCACGGGGAGAGCATGTGGGCTTTTCTCCTTAACTAACAGCTACGTTAGCTGGTGAAAAATATTCAGTGTGTCAGAGTTAATTTATAGAGCTGACAAAGTATAAGGGCTCCAGAAGGTACAGCATACATTTACTAAACTTTAAATACAATTTTTAAGCTAGATATAGCTCAAAGATGAAAATAAGCAGCCCAACAACTAAACCGCTGAAATGGGTATCATTTCATGGCACTTTCTATTTAATGGAGCATGTGTGTTTCAAACTAGCGGACAGGTTACCATCACAGCAGAAGAGCTGATAATCCTTCTGATCCCATCAATGGAAACATTTTTCTGAAGGAGGCAGGCACCTCTGGAAGCCAGCAGACACCTCAGCACGGCACAGCCATGACCGTGCAGAGGGGAGGCACAGCACATTGCTCAACACCACCAAGCACCCAGGCCTTAATGAAGCCTCCAGGCATAAATACCACAACATAAATACTAAGTGTTAATTTCCCCTTAAGGTTGAAGAAATTACCCAGCAAAGCTCTTGGGGAGGCAGGTCAAATAGCTATCTACTTCGACAGCACTCAAGAATTATTTAGCTATCTTGCTTGTTTTAGGAGCCAGCATTTTAGGACTCACGGTGAAACCTTTACATCAAAGGTTCTTTCTTTTACTCTACAAAGCCAGACATGCACACTGTAGCAAAGAAAAATACATCCTTTTTAGACTTCATGGCTTTTGTCCTCTATTCATAGCAGTAAATGAAACTACTTTAAGCCCTAAAAATCATATATCTACTGAATAGAGGACGCATGGAGTCATCTGTATCCTGTGAGGAATCCACTAAAAACCAAGCTGTTCAGCAGCATGCTATCGCAGCACAAGCTAGTTTACAGCAATCATCACTACCCTCTGATGAGCCTAAAATACATCTCTTGCTTAACTATAAGCATGAAGAACGAGACCAGAAAAATTCACGTCACACCACCTTGGAATATTAGCCCACTACAGCAACATGAATTGCTGCATCAAATTGGACAGCCACCTTCTAGAACCTCACCACAGAGTGACGGGTTTCATATGTTTCAAAGAACACGTTAAAAAAAAAATCCTGTTAAAACACAGTTATTTCTAATCTCTTCCATCTGCTCTGCCTTAGATGTACCTGCCATCAATACAACAGTAATAGAAGGGAAACTCTAGCTATTCCTCCAAAGACAACACGAGCCATTTTTCCATTGCTCTCATACATACGAGGTCATGTCAAGTTTCTGCATGCTACCAGCTGTCTGCATTCATTGCTTCGTTGTACTGCTAATGCAATTCTGAAACTAGGGTAGATACGAGACATTGAGGCAAACTGGAAAATCAGAACATATTTCAGTAGCTCAGTCCATCAGGTCTCGAACTCGCTTTTTCTTTCTTGTAGCTTCTGTCAGACTGACAGGGAATGCAACCTAAAAGTATGCTTAATTCACTCTGCCATAGTTATTGATGTACAGACACAAAAAGAATCAAATCTGCTCTTACACAACCTCCTTCGCTAAGGCTACTGGTTTGATATCAAATCCACTCAAACGTCCTACTTTGCAGTGAGTGAATTAGCAGATGTTAACTTGGAAACTCGCCTCCTTTCAACAGTTCACCACAGCTACCTATCTCCTCTCAGTATCTCACAATTACAACCTCAAATGTCTGACAGGGCTATGCCAAGGCTGAGGGAAGCATAACAACTTCAGTAGGAAGCCTTTAACAGCACAAACCTGCACAGTGCAAGATAACATGACTTAGTCCCAATATTCCTACAGATATAAGACATTTTAACTAAGGAATAGCCTTAACATCATCTGTGTGCACTGTGACCCATAAAAGACCTGAACTCAGAAGAAGGTATGAGAACTGAGTGAACAGGTTAAATGGCATTTAGGGCTATGATGTACTGCATGGTCATCACCTGGTGACACAACCCTAATTTCCCTTCCAGAAGCGGACTTAGGAAAGGACATTCCATCCTCCTCAATAACGCATTGGACTCAAGGCTTCTGGCACACAAATTAGAGTCTGAGTTGACAAATACATTCTGTGGGGAGGAATGGGACTAAAAAGACCTTTGTAAGAGTAATCTTGGAGTAACATTCCTGAACTGAAGTTAACCAGGTTTACATGAAAGGATGTTAGGAATTACATCCCCATTCTGTAATTCTGTAAAAACAAAACAAAAAACAACCCCAAAGCATTTCTAGGAAGCCATGTTAAGGCACTGGCTTTATACAGAAATTCACACTGAAGGTACTGACCAGCCTCCTTCTGGTGCTGGGCCCCAGCTCACACAACAGCAGCAACATTATTAAGAAATAAAAGCACCCTGAAATGCAGCTGTTTGCCTCTAAGAGAACTCCACATTTAAAAAATAAAAACACAGAGCATGCTATGATTAAAAGCTCAATAAAATAGAACACTGAAATGTATCTGAAGCATTTCAAGAGTTCTCATAGCCATGATGACGTCAGTGGCAGTCTCCTTTCTGCACAACATTCTAAGTCTAGGAAAGACCTGTCAGGGCTTTCATGCTCACCCTGACATCGAGTGCACACATTCAAAGCACCTCTCTCCTGATGGAGACAGATCACTTTGAGATCCAGTCCCCTGTGCACATTTACAGCATGATTCTTTTTGAAGAGAGTTACACAAACACAACCCTTTGGAGTACTTTCCATTCATACAACCACCCTGCAAATAGTTCGCTTGGGCTACGTTTACCCTAAAAACATTTTCTTGTTGCAGGAGCACACCACAGCAACAAGGAACTTCTGAAGTTGTCACAGATATGGAAAAAGCCATATCTTTACCAAAGCAGGCAATGTCACCACCAACAAAGGAGTGAACTTGAGAGGAAAAGCGCTGGATTTCTCATCACAGGGCTGGCACAGCACCAGCAGGGGCCATACCCACACGACAGCAGTACGGGACCCCATACACTGGTTAGACGCTGCATACAAACTTGCTAATAAATTACAGTTTGCAATCACGGGTACATGGGGTAAAAGCTTTTGAAACAGAGGGGGGGAGGAGAGGGAAAGAGAAGCACTCCGTAGACACTCGGGGAACGTCAGTGCAACCTCACCGCATCCCGCGCTCCCAGGAATACACGCCGGGATGGCCCCCGGGACCAGATTCAGAGCAAGTCCCGAGCTGCGAAGTTAGCAACGGCAGAAAAAAAGCCAGTTATCGCTCCAAGTCCCAAAAACCGCTCGCAACTCGGACTTAGCGCAGACGCCCCAAGTTTCGCCCACCCTCTCGCTCGCGCGGAAGCAGCCCGCTGTCCCACACACACACATCAGGGTTAACGCGATGGCTGCGCGCCCCGAGGCGGCTCTGCGGGGCTGTTCCCACGCGCGACTCCGTCCCGGGCGGCCGCCGAGCGCCACCCGCCCCCTCAGGCCGCGCCGGGCCCGCGGCTCGCCCGCCCCCACCTGCCGCCGGCCCCTCACCTGCACCGCCGCCCGAGGCGGGCCCGCCTCGACCCCGCCGCCTCTAGCCGCGGCGCTCCCGCCTTCTGGGGGACGGCCGGGCCCGAGGGAGCTGCCCCCACTCGGGGCGGCCTCCCGCTGCCCGCCGTGTCCCGGCCGGCCGAGCCCCGCAGCGGCGGCGGCGCCCGCCCGCTCCTGCCTTCTCCCGGCCGCCCCGGGCGCCGGGCGCCGGCCGCTCCCCTCCTCCCTCGGGAAGCCGCGGCCTCAGCGGGGAGCGGCCGCCTCCCGCCGCCGGGGGGCGAACGGCGCGGGTCCCGGCCGCCGCTCACCGGCCCGAGGCACCTACCGCTGCGCCGCGGCGCGGACGGCGACGCCTCAGCGCCGTCCCGGCGGCCCCAACGGCCGCAGCATCCTCCGCCGCCTGCCGCTCCGCGAGCACGGTGCTACCGCCGGAGCCCCCTCTACGGCCCCCCTCCACCGAATGGAAAATAGTTCTCGGGCCCCGGAGCGGAGAGAGCGGGAGCGACACCTCAGTAGCCAATGAGAGCCAGCCTAGTCCCCCGCAGAGCCAATGGCAGCGGCAGGCCGGCCGAGGCGGAGCGTCGCGCAGCCAATGAGGACGCAGCTGTCGGACTGACCCGCTAGGATGGGTTCGACGAGCCTCCATTGACGACCATCTTGGAGTCGGGCGCGGTGCCCAATCTGGGAAGGGGCTCGTCAGCGGCCATTTTGGGTTCGGGCGCGGGGCGGGGCGGCGTGACGCGGCGGCGCTGTGGGGCGGAAGCGGTGGCTGCGGGCAGCGGCCGTCCGGGTGCGTCTGGCCGGGGCGCTGTCAAAACGCCGGCAAGTGCAGTTGCTGCGGGCCGGTGGAAAGAGTCCTTTCTGCTCCTCGCAGGCTCTGGTGGCCGTACTGGAGCTAGGGTTAAAGCAGACTGAGCCAGAGCTTAGCCCGCCTCAGCCGTCCTGATTCTGTAGCGATATCTCCAGGACACCTGAGAGCTTTTGCTCCAGAAGCATCAAGTCACAATTTGTACTTTCTGCAGTTACGCCGTACTGACGCTACTTGTACAGCACTTGCATAAATCAGTCTTACTTCAACTTTCAGACTCTCGGTTTTAATGACTTCTGTGGCAAACATTCATTTTTAATTTTACTGTGCAGTAAATATTTTCATGCTAGATACTTACTGACTTCTCAGCAGTATAAAGTTTTATTAACTGCAGACCTTAAAACCCCGGATTTGCTGTCTCACTTCTTATTCACAGAGCAAATCCTTCTGATGTTTCTGTTTTTGTCAGGATTAAGGTACAGCTTCTGCTAGAAAAACAGCAGTTACGCTACAGTTTCAGCTAGAAAAATAACAGTTAATCCCATACCCACAAAGATGCTACCTGCCTGTAACCAGAGCCTCATATCATGAACACTTCAATATCATTAAATATATTCAATATGTAGTGCATGTGTAAAGTTTTATGTTCTCAGACAGAAGTAATAAAGCTGAGAAAAATCTTTATGAACCTATTCATAAAGAATAACAACTTCAGAGAGACCATCAGACCTACACTTTAGAAATCATTGCTGCCATTCTACAGACATTCCATTTAACCTAGAAGGAATCCCATTTCATGTAAACCCCATCCACACAGACCTCATTAGTTTAACAAGGAAAGTTAAGACCTGCAATCATTTACTGCTTTTTCTTAAAATCCAGCATCTCTCAGCTCGATGCAAATTGCTTGTCCAAATAACTTCCTTCCTACTTCCTTCCTTCCTTTCATTTCCACAGGCAGGAGATCTTCTGGCTTTTTTTCTTAGTTTCTACCTGGATTAACCCCTTCATGGAAACACTGAAATAAAATTAAATTAAAATAAAATAAAATAAAATGGCAAACAACATAACTAAGCACAGAGATGAAATACAGAACTCCATGTGACTGCAATGAGCTGATGCAGAGCTAGCAGAATAACAACCTCTTTTCAGCTTTGGTCCATAGATTTGCTTACTATTTGTGAACCTGAGTATGGCATTCTTGGGGGTGTGCTAATTTATTTCATGATATCCTGTTTTATCAAGCAATCACAACGGTTCATTACTCAAATTTACTTAGGCACTAGTCATTCAGAAAAGTCATGAAGCCAAAGTTTTATGTTAGAAGACAACATCTGGGAATGAGCATCATTACTTCCACAGAAGTTTTTTAAAGTTGTTACGAGTTTCTTTGACTATGCTTTTAAAATAAACTCTTCTGACAAAGTAAATATATTGGTGTTAGGTTTTTTGTTTGTTTGTTTGTTTGTTTAAATCTGGTTCTGTAAACATATATGTTTTGTCCAGAGGTTACAGTGTTACAGGACAGGGAATTGGGAATCCCTGATTTCCAGCAGAACTGAAGAGAAATCATGTGTGTTGCATTGCCAGTACAGCGGACAAGGGATATACACAATGTGTTTTTGTTCGTGATATCAACATTTGGGTAATTAGTAGAATTCCTTATTAGTTGCACCTAAATCCCCTCAGGGCTCAAGGGAAATATCAGCTCTGGGATACAGTAAAATAATTGTCTGATCCATGGGGATTTTCAGAAATGCTCAGCTGCTTCCACATGCTCACCAAGACAGTCTGGATTTTATCACATCAAGTACAGAGCTGAATTGGCAAAGCAAAAGTCCTGCCGAAGGGGAAGGGGAAGGGGAAGGGGAGAGATGGGAAGGGGAAAAAAAGAATGAAGAAAAGATAAAGAAAAATAAAGGAAAAAAGAAAAAGAGAGAGAAAGGGAGAAAGGGGAAAGGGGAAAGGGAAAGGGAAAAAAGAAAGGGGAAGCGAAAGGGACAGGGACAGGGAAAGAAAAAGCCACAGTTTGTCTTTAATAGGTAAGAAAGTGCGAGACTGGCATAATGATTTCAAATCTTTCTGTTTATTCATCATGGTTAGATGCAGCTGCTCATTAGCAGACAGAAGAGGATAGGTATGCAACTGTTACCATACTATGTGATTTCTCTAAAGTGCTTGCACCATGTAGTACAGTACAAATAGGATAGTTACAGGTTGCTTAGCATCTCAAATAAATCCACTGTTTAAGGAGGGAGTTGGACCAGATAACCAAGGACTCTTTTAATGTTGATTCACACAAAAATTTAATTACAGCTTTACAAAGACGTCAGTCACAAGTAGAAGTGTAACTGGAATGGTATGAAGTGCACAGAATACAGGCTGGACTTTACTTGCCTTCACTGCCAACCTACAGGCATAAGAAGTCTTTCTCCAGTTTTTGAGCTCTGTGCGTAGATAAGAGGGAAGTTAGCAGACTATCATACTTCTCTCCCTTCCAAAAGCACAAATTAAAAATAGTCAATCAGAGGAAATTTGTGCAATGGCCTAGATAGTCTGATTGCAGAGCATCCACATGAGAAAGCGCTCCTCCTGCCTTGCAGGTTTGTTGGCTTTGGTTTTGCTGAAAGCTTGTTGGTTCTTTTTCCCTCAGCTATGTCACTTAGTGTAAGAGAATGTGTTATCTCTCTACCAGCTTTATTCCCTCATCTATACTTTAAAAGCACACTGGAACAGCCTTTGTTCTGCTGTCAAAGGACAATGAACTCCTGCACTGAGAAAATTATTACCCTGAGTGAATTCCAGAGCAGAATGTCGCAGTCTCATTTCCACAGAATTCTGCCTCTCCCATTTTTTTTTTCCCTGGTCTGCATTACTGCTCCACCTTGGGTTCTGAAAAGTAACTGCTGTGATTTGGCAGTCTAGGATCAACAGACTTCTTCATTTAATGAAAAAAACCTTTCTGGTTTGCTGCTCAGGCAAAGAACTAGTAAGTAAGTAGAGAGAAATAATTCACTGCTTTGTTCTTCTTACCATATGCTTCGTTTTGGGAATCTGATGGTGGGATGAGGGAAATGGAAGAAAATTGGGTACTACTTATTGTAAAATAGAAGAAAATTTTCTAATCACAAGCTTTGGTTATTTATATTAGAACTTCCAAGAGACCTGCACTATCCATAGGAATGCAAACTAAAGTCTTCTTTAAAAAAAAAAATCTTTAACACTAAACACTGACTGATAAAAACTGCAGATATAAGTTAGATTTAGGTGGGCCTACATGTGTTTCAGAATTTAGAAAGAGAATAAAAGATCAGCCTCTAAGAAGATATGAATGTATTTGAATGAATTTTTGGTGTCTGTGCACAGCCTTGGAAAGTGTTTATCACTGACAGATTTCTGGTTACCTTAACTTCTCTTGTGATTTCTGATTTAACCACACAGACATTTCACAATAAAAATCCATTCTGTTGCTGCACATCCATTACGTGCAGCAGGTCTTTATTCTGCCTGACAGTTTGTCCATCAAATTATGGCACTGTCTCATTCACAGGGTTCAAACACAAAGATTTCCTTGCAGTTACTCTCCATTCAGTGATGACCATTTCCATTAGTTCTTAAGTGAGACATCTCATGACAGCAGAAGGGACAGCTGAATATTTTCCAAAATGTAAATTGTCCATATAAAAGCTAACTGAATAGTCTCTCATCTGCTGTGTTACTTTTGAGGAGGAAAAATAATAAAAAATAAATGGCAGCCTCCAGATTCCAAAGATATAATGATTGTAGGATCAAGGTTTTCAGAAAGCAAAAGCTATTTCATGTAAATTGACAATAAATAAATGTGTTTGAGCCTGAGAGTTTTAGTATGGTGCTTAGCACTGTTGCTTGAAAGGCATTAGCAGTATAGATAGGCAGAGGGCTCCCCTGAGACACAGCGTGCAGAATACATACATTGAGCTTTTCCTTTCTGCAATGTTGTTCATGGTAAGAATTGCTCATGTGATACCTCAGGTTACATTTAGGGGTGATGGAAACATGTCTCAAGTAGACAACCAACAGAGAAAATTCACCAGCACAGATCTAGGGTGTGATGGCTCGGTGAGTTGAGATCAGTTTGAAGAATACACATAACCAAAGTTTTGTAAGCATTTACCCAGCTTTATACAGCTCATCACTACAGATCAGAGTGATGTGCTTTTATTCTGAGTTCATAGATATGCCAACCACTGACTTTCCCAGAAGGGCTGTAACTGCCCTGCTCCATGTCAGCGCTGCTTGCTGCACGCTCTGCAGGTCTGGCCATGCAGCTGGGGAGCTGTCGGTAGCCAAATTATGTCTGTTTCCTTTCCTGCATGTTTCAGCAAGCGCTGTGGCTGTGAAAAACAGATTCTTTCATCTGATCCACTAGTAATAGATTTGATTTTATGTAAGTGGGTGGAAATCAGTTCCCTCTCTTTCAGAAAAAGGCAGTATGGCCAACTTGGCTAGAAATAGAGAAACATGTTGACATCAGTCATGTATCCCTTGTATCCACAGACTGCAAACTGTCTCTAAGGCAAAAACACAGGTACATTCTCCTCTTTCCTTTTCTTAAATAAATAAATAAATAAATAAATAAAAATAAAGGATTGAAATGAAAGAAGGGAGCCAACTTGTTCCAAAAAACCCTCTACACTGTGCTTTGAATAGTTAGCAATATATGGCTTCGCAGAGTTTATTTTATTCCTCCTGCTGCCTGACAGTATTGCATGGTTGCACAGTCTACATGGTATATTTTGCATGACTGTTATGTTTTGCTTCATCCTCTGTTTCAATCACTGCATCCAAAGCGAACATGAATCAATTAATTTTTCAAAAAGGACACTGGAAAAGGAAAAGTGACTGGACTGAAGTAATGACTAAGACACATTAGAGAGGACTACCAGAGTAGCCTTCCAGTAACAGGAGATCGGTATGCATCCTTCAAGACACTGAGAGCTCAAGCTCATCAAAGGAGAGGTCATGAAGTGCCTTGATTGCAGTGTACTGGTAAATATCTAGGAAGCAGACTTTGCTAGAGAAGGCTTTTCAGTAGCAATCATACAAAGGTACAACAAGAATGATAATCTGGAAGTTTAACCTCATTGAGTTCAGACCAGAAACAAAGCTCTTCCTTTTTCACAGCTTGAAATAGTTTACCCCACACCGTAGGATGCCTCTTCATCACTAAGGACTGATTTCCAAAATGCTGTGCTGCAGTATAAACAAGAATAAACCATGGCACTCCTGTGGTTTGTATTACAGACTATTGAGATTGCCCCTTCTGAGCCATGGATCTTTCAAGCTAGGACAGTTTGGCTGGACTTCAGCTAGCTTTTGTTGGCACTCCCAGAAGCTGTAACATTCTCCATCTCTTGCCAAGCAACAACAACTGTAGGAAGAGGAAATTCCTTCTTGACTTTGCAGCTCTTAAAAAAAATCAAGTACATTACTTCTTTTGTAAGCCTTAGAGCAAAAAGCTTTTTAATCAATAGGAGGGAAAGGTAGTTCTTAGCAGCCATAGCAGAAACAGCACAGAAAGCATGTTTTGACAGCAAGAGTGAGACTTGCACTGCCCAGCTTTTAGCTATGCTACATACCAAGAGGCAGCTGTGGGCAAGAGCTGGGGACAAAGAATAAGCAGCAGAGAGTCAGAAATCTGAGAGTTGTTGTTGGTAGGGAGCTCAGCAGTAACCATGTAGTGCTGTGCCAAGAAGTGCAGGAAGGAGGCAGGTGGGTTGGTATTCATCTCTTTTTATATTGCTCTACTTTCTTGTCAGGGCAAGTGTCAAGGACAAGCCTGATTTATGCCAAAAAAACTTGATTCTTCTACAATTTCGAGGGCTACTGATATAATTCTCCACCTCTCACCTAATATGAATAAGCAGTATTGCAACGCTACTTCTGTTCCACTTATCCCTGCCGTCTGAATACTTCTGAATGAGATGGCCAATTTTTACTGCATGTGATAAAGAGGTAATAGATGTGACATTTCATTTC